GGTCTACAAGGCAGGGCTGCGTTTGAAGCTGTGCTGCACCGACCAGATTCCTCCAGCTGCTGCGAGTACTGGGTGCCCCTGGGAGAAGGTAAGGACCTGAGTTCATCCCAGGATACTGACTTTGGCTGACGGTATATCCAAAGCTATGCCTTCCTCCCTAGGGGCAACCCACAGCCAAAAGCAAGTCAGGGTCGGGGTACAAAGGTCCATCCCCTTTGCCTTAATTTAGGATCTCTGAAGGGCTAGCCAAGCCCCTGACTTCCCCATGGGTCCACTGAAGCCCCTGTTACATCTGTGTCAATCTCTCCTTCTGCTCAATCCTGTTTCCTTCACTCCCTTACAGCTGTTGTTGCCAAGGGCATTCACTAGTAGACCTGCATGGAAATCTCTGCTTCGGGTTTCCTTCCCATTCTATGGCAATTTTAACAGAAGTGGTCCTAGGATGCAAACTACTAAAATGGAATTTTGGAACTGGATCAGCAACTAGCCACCTGGCAATGAGGACATCATCCCTCGTAATAAGTGGAGTACTGATACCACCTGGCGTGCTGTGGCTGCAAAAGTTAAAATTTTACCCATGGAGAAGTTGTGATGGGATATCGGTAGGAAGTAATGAAAGCAGTATCTCAGGCATTTGAGAGGCTTATCAGACATTGTGATTATGGCGTCAGATGGTGGCTGCTGGAGGCTATTGCTGCACTGGAAAAATATAATAAAAGATGTGAAGGTGATTAATTACCAATTTAAGATGAAGTGTGAACATCACAGGACTTCCCTGGCAGCATATGAAGAAGCTCATCTCCTGTAGTCACAGGGGAGAAAAACCAGAATGTCAGGCCTGGGACTTAATTATAAGGAAAGTGGAGTTCTGCAAAAGGCCGAATTTTCATGCTAAGTCCACTATGATAAGGTTAGGGCTTTGATTAGGAAGAAGTGGGACCCTGTAACTTGGGTTGGGGACATCGGGTCAAGGAATCTGAAAATCTCAAATTCTGAGATTCCCCTACATGCTCTGGGCCTGCAGAAGTGACCTACCTTTCCCTGCTAAACACTAATGCTCCTCACTTGCTTGAAGATAAGAGGTTTCTGTCCTATAAAACAACACATGCCCAGCTCAGAAAATGCCCCTAGAACAATAATTAGAGTTAAGTCACAAAATAACTCATCCAGGGAAGTATTGAGATCACTAGGGGGGAACAGGGATCATACCCTTAAGGTGCTGTGGGACGTAGCCAACACCTATCAACAGAAGCCAGGAGAGCTTGTGTGGGACTAGACCTGAGGGTGTTAGAGCAAGTGAGCAGCAGAACACGTAAACTTTGGTAGGTAGAGTTTATCAACATGGAAACACTCTTCAAGACACAGGACTCAATGCCTAGGCACTCTAGGAGACGTCGTTAATACACTGCTAGGTTAACCATTGACACTGCTATGGCAGACGGTGGAGGAAGAGATCCAAAGACTCAGAGAAGTAGCTTGAGGTAAGGATATGTGGGCAATGGTAAACAGCTTGGATGGTTGGTCAAGGCCTAGAAGGAGGAATATTGGAAGCCAGGGAACAGTGAGAACTGGGGAACTTAGAGACGGATGACCTGTGGGAGTGGGCATGAAAAGTGAAAAGTGGTGTATCACATGTTAATGACCTCCAGAAGACACCTACCACAGAAGATGAATTAAGTAACCAAGTAGACAGAGCGGCCAGGCTAGCTGACATCAGCTAGTCATGATCACTGCCCACCTTAGCATTGGCATGACTGACCCATGAACAGAGTAGGCATGGTTGTAGGGATGGAGGCCATGCATGAACCCAACAGAAGGGGCTCCCACTCACCAAGGCTGATCTAGTTGTTGAATGTACAATTTACTAGCCAAAGACTAGTAAATGCTGCACCCCAGGGGCTGGTACTCAAGGACACCAATCAACCTCTTGGTGTTAAGTCGACTACATCAGAACTCTTCTACCCTGGGAGGATCGGTGATCCATCTTGACTGGAATTGACATATATTCCAGATACAGGTTTTTCTTTTCTGACTACAGGGTTTCAGCACCATTCTTCAAGGACTTAGAATCTGAATCAGTGGTACAAGACCTCACATAATATTGCATCAGGGAAAAGGACATACTTTGGAACAAAAGAGGTATAGAAGTGGATGGACGACTATGGGATCCTCTAGTTCAATCACATATTGTACTACATAGAAGCCACTAGCCTTCCTATTAGAGCATTTATTGCATTTATTGTTGAGGTGCCAGTTTTGAAATGATGCCCGTGAAATGGGGTATCATTCTCCAGGATATAGTTCATACTCTAAATCAATAAGCACATATGGCACTGTGTTCCCAGTAGATAGAATACAGGGCTATAGGCACCAAATAGTGGAAGTAGAAGTGGCCCCTTTGGGGAATTTTATTTCCCGCATGAGCAACTAACACTCTGTATCTAGAAGTCCTGGTTCCTAGCGGGGAAATATTTCCACCAGAGATACCGTAAGAATCCCTTAAGCTATGGCTGTCCCCCAGTCACTTCTGGCTCTTTGTAACCACCCTGGCATGGGTAATTGACGCTGCTCATCAGAAGGAGGTAAGAGTACAGATAAAACATAGGCCAGGCTATATAGAAAACTAGAGAAACATAATTAACAAGCTTGATCTAATAGTAGAATTCCATATTCACGAAATAGAGAATGAAAATTCTAGCACATATAGAATATTTATAAAAACTGATGGCATGTGAGATCAAAAGAAGTCTATTAAACAAATACTGAAGAGTTGATGGCTTGTAGGTTGACGATTGCTAAGCATTTTTTTTTTTTTTTTTTTGAGATGGAGTCTCAGTCAGCGGCCCAGGCTAGAGGGCAGTGGCACGGTCTTGTCTCACGGCAACCTCTGCCTCCTGGTTCAAGCAATTCTCTTGCCTCAGCCTCCCAAGTAGTTGGCATTACAGGCTCACACCACCATGCCTAGCTAATTTTTTGTATTTTTAGTAGAGGCAGGGTTTTGCCATGTTTGCCAGGCTGGTCTCAAACTCCTGACCTCAGATGATCCACCCACCTCGGCCTCCCAAAGTGCTGGCATTACAAGCGCAAGCCACTGCGTCCAGCCTGCCAAGCATTTTTAATCATGCACTTTCACTGTTGTGGGTTAGGTTTCCTGGGAAGCAGAGTCTGAGATTGAGATTCATGTGCAAAATTTTCAGTCATAAACCAAACCTTGGCATTACACAATATACCCATGTAACAAACCTGCATGTGTACCCTGTGATCTAAAATCAAAGTTGAAATTATAAATAAACAAATAAACAAAAAAACCCCCAAATGTTTAGAGAGTGATCTCAGAATTAACACCTTTGAAAGAGAGGAGGGAGAAGCAGGAATGAGCAGAGGAAGAAGCTGAGGGGCATTGCAGGACGAAGGAAGACCTCATTCCAATCAATGTGGCCCACCAGGAGCTCTAGACTATGTCAGCCCTGCAGAGCTGGGGCAAGACGACTCCTGCCCGGAGCAGGCAGTGGATGCAAATTACCTTTGGAAGAAGGTGTGACCTTGAGCAAGGCAGTCCCTAAAGAAGGCCGTCTTCTGGCAGCACTTCTGGAAGCTGGGAGAATTAATCTTTCATTCCTGAAAGAGGATGTGAGTAGCACATCACAGAAAATTTTAGTATATATATCTAATATGCAGAATGCTTATTGACTTACAAATCATATACTTTCCCTATTATATTGATGTACATATACATTATACAACACAAAAAAGAAATTTAGAAATGATGAGATATTGATTAAATAATATATTAAAACATCTTACTAATATGTGATGGTTTCATATTATTATTAGCTAATATCATCAGACAGTATACTTTTAGGGCAAACTTCACTACTTATGGCAGGTACATAAATATTTCTTTTTTAAAAAAATTATTTATTATTATTATTTTTGAGACGGAGTTTTGCTCTTGTTGCCCAGGCTGGAGTGCACTGGTGTGATCTTGGCTCACTGTAACTTCTGCCTCCTGGGTTCAAGCGATTCTCCTGCCTCAGCCTCCTGAGTAGCTGGGATTACAGGCGTGTGCCACCATCCCAGTTAATTTTTGTATTTTTAGTAGAGACGGGGTTTCACCATTTTGGTCAGGCTGGTCTTGAATTCCTGATCTCAGGCAATCCACCTGCTTCAGCTTCCCAAAGTGCTGGGATTACAGGCGTGTGCCACCGCACCTGGCCATCAATCAAAATTTTTAATAATCTTCTTGATAATTTCCATTTTTTGGCCAACTTCTTGCAAGATTTGACTAACTCATTCTACCTTGTAATGCAGCTGACTAAAAGCTGACACCAGAACTACCAGCTCTGCCATTGCCTCGTTGCTCACCTTTGCTTGCTTTGTTTCATCTTCCCTTGTGCTTTCTTTGAAGGAATCCTTTTTTTATAATTTTATTTTTTAATTAACAAATAATAGCTATACATATTCATGGGGCTTATGGTGATGTTTTGATACATACACCGTATACTGTTCAGATCAGGTTAATTAGCATATCCATCATTTCAAACATTTATCATTTCTCTGCGTTTAGAATATTCAATATTCTCCTTCCAGCTATTTGAAACTATATAACATATTATTGTGAACTATATCATCCTACAGCGGCATAGAACACTAGAACTTATTCCTCCCATCTAGGTGTAATTTTGTATCCTTTAACAGCTCTCTCCCTATCTCTCCTTTCCCTTTACCCTTCCCAGCCTCTAGTATCCTCTGTTCTACTTTTTTTCACTTCTATGAGATCTGCTTTTTTTAGCTTCCCCATATGAGTGAGAACATGTGGTATTTAGCTTTCTGTTCCTGGCTTATTTCACTCAGCACAACGTCTTCCAGTGCTATCCATGTTACCACGAAATAACAGGATTTATTATTTTTTACGGCTGAACAATATTCCATTGTGTATGTGTACCCCATTTTCTTTTTTTCTTTTTTTTTTGCAGTATGTATATTCCTTTATTCAACTCTCGTGACAACTCCAATAACAGCATAGGTAGGTGCTATTATTCTGTTTCACAGATGAAGAAACTTTAGTACAGAGATGCTAAATAATGTGCTCAAGTGAGAGTTGGGGTTCAAAACCAGGCATGGGTCTGTCCCCAGAATACATGCTCTTAACCCCAAACTACTGTACATTGTATACAGATGTTTTTCTGATGAGGCATTGAACTCACTAGGCAAAAAGCACAGACCAGTGAGGTGCTGACATTTTAGGATGCATAGGGAGGATGAGTAACCGGAGTTGATCAGACCAGGCAGGGCAGTTCTGGATTGGGGAAGTGTTTGGTAAGGCAGGAAGCCTTGAGATGGTAACCAGGGGAAAAATGAACAGATCTTCAAAGCTGATGGAGGCCTGGGGGCAGGGGACCCACCTACTCACCAGCCAGGGCCTGCAGGCTGGGGAAGCCATGGTAGGTGACATTATCAAGCTGGATGAGCCGAGGTCCAAAAGCCTGGCACAGCCGCTCCACCATGCCAGTGATGCGGGTGATGTTGTTGTTGGAGGAACAGATAAAAGAGAAAAGGCATTCGATGGGGTCTTGTCGCAGCAGTCGCACACCTTGGAATTTCTGAGCCACCTCTTGGAAGTGGGAGTCCACAGAACCCCAGTGGTGATACAGTTGAGCCAGGGTGACATCTAGCTGGAAGTACTTGCGCACGGCCTCCAGCTCGTCTGGTGTGGGCCTGCCAGGCTGGCTCTTGTCTCCTCGGTACACAGTGCAGTGGAGCTGCTCCTCAGTCTGAGTCAGTGTCCATACTTGGTCCGCTAGTACACCACTCCAGTGTGCAGGACTTTGCTCCCTCCACCGGGAGGACTGTCCAGAAGGCAGAACCAGGTCCAGGCGCAGCTCAGAGCGAGGGCACGGGATAGAGGCCCACAGGGCAGGAGCGGAGGCTAGAGTACGATGCCCCATGCGCCTGGGCAGAAGCGCGCGGGCCGGCATTTCCACAGCAGGAGCCGCCCACAGCACTGTGTACCCCATTTTCTTTATCCATTCACAAGGAAATTTTTTTAAGAGGGCTTCCCTTCAAGGAATTTTTTGTGAGGGTTAGTTTAGTTAAATTCAATAATTTAATCTGAATATCCACTTACCCCATTACATAGAATCTGCAATATTTCTGAATACACTGAAAACAAATGAAAGTGGGAGGATATCACTGTCAGCCTCTGCATTTTGGATGTTGCCTCCTTTGCTCAGGACACCTCATAGCTGTCTGAGATGCAACCTGTTGAGGGCAACGGTGTACATCAGCACACAAAATATTAATCAAGGTTAAGTTCTTATTTTGTAGGCAAAAATAAGTAGCAATGGTAGTTCTAGTATTTTCTGCTTACACCTCTATGGATCATTTTTCATACTCATTTGGGTAGAGGCACCCCATTTTGGAGATCTCTGATCTAGTGAGCAGAAAGTTTATGCACCCCAGATTTAGTACTTTTAGTCAGTGCTGAGAGATGCTGCTTTTCCAATTTTTCTTCTTTTTCCCTTATGCTATTGTTGATCACTTCTCCTTCTGTTAATACATATTTTCTTCATGATTTTTTTTTATTTCTAATTAAGTAACAGTCAAGCTGAGGTTCAAGTAGGCCTGTGAGACTACTTCCTACTAAATGTTTATTTACAGCCCTGTTCTCAGGTTCTTAGTGGGCATCTCCGTCTGCCCACAACAATTATATGTGGAACATACAAAAATTTCGGAGTAATTCAATATCAAGTTGAAAAACACATCAGACTGGCAACAACATTTTTTAAAAAAACAAATTTTGTTTAATGAGACAAGATTCTTAAAAATACCTGTGTGGCCGAGCCTGGTGGCTCATGCCTGTAATCCCAGTGCTGTGGGAGGCCGAGGTGGGCAGATCACCCGAGGTCAGGAGTTCAAGACCAGCCTGGCCAACATGGTGAAACCCTGTCTCTATTAAAAATAGAAAAATTAGCTGGGTGTGGTAGCGCGTGCCTGTAATCCCAGCTGCTTGGGAGGATGAGGCAGGAGAATTGCTTGAACCCAGGAGGCAAAGGTTGCAGTGAACCGAGATCGCGCCATTATACTCCAGCCTGGGCAACAAGAGTGAAATTCTGTTCCAAAATAAATAAATAAACAAAACTACCTGCATATCAGAATTGCCTATAGCACTGAGGAAAAAAACAAACAACAACAACAAAAAACAAAGAACCCCAAACTGTACCAATTCTTGGATCCCACTTGCATTCATTCAGATTTTAGGGTCAGTCATGAGTAAAGACTTAAAAATAACACCAAGTTCTCCATGATACGAGTTGATTGCTGCTGGAGGTAGTGTGGCTAATGCTGCTCCACGAGCTCCTCAGGGACCCATGTTCTTTACTGCTCTTCATTCCAGGGCCTGGCCTCTGTCTTCGTGGTCTAGTCTAGTGGCTGCAACTCCAGCCATCACATCTGTGTTCCAGGCAGGAAGATGGAGGAAGAGACAAAAATGAAATGGGCAAAGGCTGCTCATCATCTGATGGTGAAGGCCAGTTACCAGAAGTGGCCATGTGACACTCCCTCTGACATCCCATCACCTAGAACTTAGTCACATATCCACAATTTCATGTAAGAGAAGCTGACAAATACGTTGTGTATTCTGGGCCACTATATGCTTAGCTAACATTTGGGACATTTATTCCTACATAAGAAGAGAAACGTTGGGGGACAGCCAACGGTCAGTTTACAAATCAACAACACTCTAGACCTCGGCCCGCTTTGGAAATCCATGTGCATTTAGGATCTGGTTGGAGAAGGTTTTGCCCTAAGTTCATCCTAGGGATATCACACTATGGCTAGAATTAGCAACTGTTTGTGTGTCTTTAGAGAGTGTGGAATAACCCTAAGTACAGTGAAAATATGTGTGCACGAGTGACTGCATTAGCTCTGCTCATGTCAGCTTATGAGATGCTTTCAGGCACTCATTCTGCCAGGCTACTTTAAGTTTGGGTGAAAGAGAACAAATAAATATTTCAATTGAAATGCCCTGGGAGACCGGGTGCAGTGGCTCAGCACTTTGGGAGGCTGAGACAGGAGGATCGCTTGAGCCCAGGAATTTGAGATTAGCCTGGGCAACATAGTCTCTACAAAAAACAAAAAATAAATTAAATGCCCTGGTATTCTTTGGACAAGAATTTAAAGTTCTGTTCATCTCTCTCATATTCCTCTTTCTCAGGGTGCTAGGAAAAACAAAAGAACAAACAAAACGCAACCATTTTGTCCCATTTTGTTCCAAATTTGGTCCCATTGGTGATCCAGTCTAAATAGAAATTTTCTGAACCACTTTTGTCAACTATTATTTAGAAAGATACAGCGATAACCAGAAGAGTTTTTGGCTTGAAACCGCTACACAGAGTGTCCTGGAAACAAAACTAGGCATTATACAATTCCTGGGGATGTCATTCATATCATTTCTATGTGGATGACAGTCCCTTGGTACACAGTATGAATGGTGTCCGCTGGAGTTGTGCAATGCTGCTGTCCTGCCTGGAAGCAGTGTAACTTGTCTGTTAATCTCAAAACACGTATAAGCTGTTAAGATAAGCAGATGGTACTGACAGTCCCAGGAATAGCCCAGAACTATTCTGTTCTTGCAAAAAGCTGCTTTTAAACATAGTCCAGAGAACTTGATTTAATCTTATCAATGGCTACCAAAAGGGTTCAGATAATCTAGTGGGGCTGCAATATTTCTGATTTCTAGGTGTCTGTTTTAAAGACAAATCTAAGGCCCTAGAAATTCTAGGTTCCTACAGTGCAGTAGAGTGTGATTTGCATAAACAATTCTGTAACATCATTAATCAGGGGAATTTAGAATTCCTCACTTTATCTCTCTCATGCACACCTGTTCCTGCTGGAGATAAATAAACAGAGAGCAACTGCAGCTGCATGGCGGCTTCACTGATTTAAGGAGTATCATTAAGAGCGTCTTTCAAGCTGGGAGTCTTACAGCTTCAAGGGTGTTTCCAATATATAATTCCCATCACAGTCAATTATCATTAGAACATATTTTTAAAAATGAAATCCAGAGGTTTTTCTTAAACAAATGTTTTAAAATTATTAACAAAATCAGCCTTTTAAGCAAGAATATTTTCAAGGACAAGAGAGGATATCCTGAAAAATTTCATCATATTATCTACTGTTATATGTAGGACCCAGCAAATTTGAATTAGTTTGGCTTCATTTGATGCAAAATAAGAATAAATGAACTCATATTTTCCTCTTCCTGTTTTCTTTCTTTTTGTTTTTTTTTTCCTTGAGACGGAGTCTTTTTTTGTCACCCAGGCTGGAATGTAGTGGTGAGATCTCGGCTCACTGCAACCTCCGCCTCCTGGGTTTAAGGGATTCTCCTGCCTCAGCCTCCTGAGTAGCTGGAACTACAGGCACGCGCCCCCACTCCCGGCTAATTTTTGTATCTTTAGTAGAGACGGGGTTTCACCATGTTGGCTAGGCTGGTCTCAAACTCCTGACCCCAAGTGATCTGCCTACCTTGGCCTCCCAAAGTGCTGGGATTACAGGCATGAGCCACCGTGCTGGGCTGCTCTTCCCATTTTCTATTGGTCCTTAACCTTTATTGGGTCATGATACTTTTTTTTTTGAGATGGAGTCTCACTCTGTTGCCCAGGCTGGGGTACAGCCGCGCAATTTCAGCTCACTGCAACCTCTGCCTCCTGAGTTCGAGCAATTATCCTGCCTCAGCCTCCCAAGTAGCTGGGACTACAGGCGCGTGCCACCACACCCGGCTAATTTTGTGTATTTTTAGTAGAGATGGGGTTTCACCGTATTAGCCAGGATGGTCTCGATCTCCTGACCTCATGATCTGCCTGCCTCGGACTCCCAAAATGTTGGGATTACAGATGTGAGCCACTGTGTCTGGCCGGGTCATGATACTTTTTAGAATATGATATGGTACCTCTTCCAAGAAATGTACTCAGATACATATACACAAACTTTATCATAACATTTCAGGGGTTACTGACTGATAAAATCTATTCATAGACGCTCTAATTTCAAAACCTCAATCTAGAGGCTAGTGTAGGGTGAAAATAAGTTGCAAGAACTCAAAATTAATTCCAGGATTGAAGAAAAAGTTAGTGGGGTTTTTTTTAACATTAATTTGAAAACAAGTCACTTTGGAGACAAAATTACTACTTTCAGGAATCATTTTCATTGATGTCTTTAATTTCACAAACCAAATTATATAAAATTAAGTAGTATATATTTCAAACGTAATAATTGTGCTCTGTACAATTCAAGGCACACTTGGATTTTTTGTTGGTTTTTTGTTTGCTCTTTAACAACAGAAAACTTATACTCTATTCATTCAAGATTTTTCCATCAGAACTTTCATCATTTTGTTTGGGTTCACAGGTGAAAATATTGTGAAAGTTCATTTCCACCACAATGAAGGATAACATCTTCAGCCCCATTTATTTACTAACAACTTTATTGAGATACAATTCATATACCATATAATTCACCCACTTAAAATATATAACTCAATGGTTTTTAATATATTGTTATGTGACCATTGCCACAATAAGTTTAGACCATTTTCATGAACCATAGAGAAATCCTGTACCTATTAGATGAATCCTGTACTCCCCATTCATCATCCCTAATTCTAGCTTTAGGCAACCACTAATGTATGGGAAGTATTTTTTATAGAGACAGGGTTTTGCTATGTTGCCCAGGCTGGTCTCAAATTTCTGACCTCAAGCAATCCTCCTGCCTCAGCCTCCCAAAGTGCTGGGATTACAGGTGTGAGCCACTGTGCCTGGTCTTTTATTTCTTTTTATGACTGAATAATAGTCCATTGTATGGATATACCAGATTTATCTATTCATTAGTTAATAGACATTTGGGTTGTATCCAACTTTTGGCCATTATGAATAATTCTGCTATAAATATTTGTGTACAAGTTTTTGTATTGACCAGCCCCTTAATTTTTAACTACACAACACAAAAAGTAAAAAGAGAAGAAC